CCCTCCCTCCCTCCCTCCCTCCCTGTAATCTATATCGACCCCGGAGTTTGATAGCATTAAAAACAATAAAAGCGATGTTAAAACCAAAAGCAAGACCATAATATAGAACTACACAGGGGTATGATTGTAAGCTATGAGTCCCATGTTCTCTCTTTTGTGACAGCTTTTAGATTGAGGCTTTTTGGGGTAGAATCTGTGTTCCTATAATTATTTTATATAGCACCACACTTATTTATGCAGAAATAATATATTATGTTGCTGTTGTGCTCTTTGTTCATGCTACACTCAATTGGTTACCCCACCTGGGCCAAAAAACATATCTGAAACCTAACTTGTAATGGAATTTGGGTCATGGAAGGGAAGTGTGTCTTATCAAAGGAGTTTCTTGGCTTGTGGAACTCCCGGTCACAAGATGTGGTAATAGATGCTGGTTGATACAGGTTTTAATCGGATGAGTGAACTTCACAGAAGAGGAGATAGATGCATTGTTAGCAATTAACCATGATGGCTAAATTAATACTCCAGGCTCAGTGCCAATCTATCTGCTGGAAAGCAACTGCAAGAGAAGGCAGTTTTTCCTTATCTCTGGAGCCAGGCGAGTGTTTGGGTAGCTGATCACATTTTATGAAATTCCTCTCCACTTCAGGGTTGACACACACACAATTTTCAGATGTAAAGTGAAGGATTGCCTTTTCTTCCCATAACTTGAGCCAGTTTACTTAGTTTTCTAAGTGATTTCCACCCTTTTGGATTAATATTTTAATTAATTTTAATATCTGTAAATCTGTATTTTCATTGTTCTCATTAAATGAACATAACTTGTTTTTCTTTTCTTTTTTTGTTAGCTGTTTGGATGTTCTTTTTTTTTTTTTTTAGTAAAGCAGGAAGAAAAAATATTTTATACAAAATAAAAAAATGTTCTGCAGTGTGGATTCCCTGAAATGTGAAAAAAGATGTTGAATTGGGAGTCCAGGAGGGCTGTTCTTCATTTTGGGTCCTTTTAGAAAATGCCAGGACTTTGTGGCATATGTTTTGATTAGCGATTGGTATTTGTATTCAATTCCTTTCATAAATAAGGGCGGGATCATTCATGCGTGCTAGGAATGGGAGGCTGATTACTTTCTGGAACTGGACCAAAGAATCCATGAAATCAGGCCAAGTGTCCTCCTGACTTCCTTCTTTCTCCAACCCTTTTGGTCCTTGCAGCTCAGCTGATCAGTAGCGCGCTGGCGCCATGGCTTCTGGAGGGGAAGACCTGGATGACTGGGCGGGCACCAGTCTGGTCGACCTGACCTCACCTGAACTGGCAGCCACCCAGACCTCCATGATTGACAGTGGGGAAGATTTTGAAGTCCTGGATAATACAGAAGACGGGGATTTAAGTGGTCTCCCCCCACTGGAGGATGTCCCAACCAGCCAGGCCAAAGAAGATGACCAAGAAACGGAAGTGGAGCATCCTGCTCGGGAAGAGTCAGAGGCAACACAAGAATGGCTTGATGTTTTAGGTGGGACCATAGCTTTGATCCACCTCTCTGCTGTTCTTCTAACCTCCAACATTCCCTGAGTCCCTTTCTAAGTGGTGGTGATGATGGTGATGAATGTGATTACATTTATGTCTCACCTTTATTCCCCCTCTCCCCAAAATCAACTGGCAAATATTGCATGTTCCTTGGGGCAGGTACTATAGGTTTATATCAAACTCTTCCCCTGCAGATGTGATGGGATGGGACCACCACTCTCAGAATTCTCACCCAAGGGTCCAGGAACCCTGGGAATTGCAGTCTTAATACATCTGAAGGATGTGTTCTACATTTTTGTTAGAGTGCAGCTCCCATCATCCACAGTCAATATAGCTCTAAGTTGGACAAGGGTGTTCTTACAAGTTACTCTTCTCTCAATCCCATCTCCAGGGAGCGGCTTACTGAAGAAGAAAGTAATCATATCAGGCCAAGGTCAGGAGAGCCGGCCAGTCAAGGGCCAGGATGTGACCATACGGCTTAAAGTGATGCTGGAGGATGGGACGGTAGTGGAGGAGGACCCAAGTCTCACTTTCACACTGGGGGATTGTGATGTCATCCAGGTGCATATGTGTCTTGATCTGTCATTGTTACGACTAGCAACAAGCACTCCCACTGTTCCACTAACTGATGGAAAGAATGAGGACCAGAAAGTTATTTTTGTATTGGTTAGACCAGTGTTTCTCAACCTTGGCATCTTTAAGATGAATGGATTTCAACTCCCAGAATTCCTCAGCCAGCATGGCTGACTGAGGAATTCTGGGAGTTGAAGTCCACATGTCTTCAAGTTGCCACTGTTGAGAAATGCTGTTCTAGATGTATCTCCCTGGGTAATCCATGCCATTTGGGATATACTTCAGCTCTCTCCCCCCTCTGAAGTTGGGTGAGGGGCCACAAGGGGCACAGTTTTTGGTTGCTGCAGCACATCTGCCTTTTAAAGATCTCTGCTCTCAGTTCTTTCAGCACCTTGTAAAAACAATCTGGCTGCTTCCAACTGACATTGGGTTGTTTTGTTATTATGGTTCCCCTTTTTTTATTCTTGACTCAGTTCAATCCCAAAGTTGCCACTGGAGATTGGGTGGTTTTTTTTAAAAAAAATTAATGGACAGGAATGTGTGACATAGCGCTTTAAAATGTTCGGTGCTGGCTTAGTTGCGTGTGAGGTTCTTTGAGAGGTTTGTTTTTCAAGAAAGCCAATTATACTTTTTATGAATATGGTTAAACATTGAAGTCTAACCTGAGCTTTTTCCTATAAGAAGTTGAAAGGGGTCTGTGAACTAGAGACACTGGGGACCTTTACCATCTAGTATTAGTGCTCTATCCCTAGCTATGGATGCATCTCTCAAATGTTGGCTAATCCATTGCCTTCTCTCTAATGGGGTTTCTGAATGACCTTTCTCTTCCCTGTAGCACCTCCTTACTACTGTTACACACGCTGCTCCCAGGTTCGGCTTATGGTCACTCACTCACACACTCACAGCCTGTTGAGGCGCTCGGATCTTGTCATCCCCCCTTGCTTTCTACCTGGGTTTTCCAGATAGGTGCGGCTGGAGCAGACAGACACACAGCCCTTGTTAGAGGGTTGGGAAATTTAGACATTTTTAGATATTTAGACATTTAGATGTTTAAACATTTGCCTTTACCTGCTTTTACTTCATGTTATACAAGCAGGTAAAGGTAAATGTTTAAACATCTAAATGTCTAAATATCTAAAAATGTCTAAATTTAGACATTTTTAGATATTTAGACATTTAGATGTTTAAACATTTGCCTTTACCTGCTTTTACTTCATGTTATACAAGCAGGTAAAGGTAAATGCTTAAACATCTAAATGTCTAAATATCTAAAAATGTCTAAATTTAGACATTTTTAGATATTTA